CGGTCGTCAATGATTCGAGCCGCTTTGCGCTGGATGCGGTCAAATGGAAGCAGCTGGCACTGGGGAGCCCCAGCCCAGAGATGGGAACAGTATTTATGTGAGGCGGAACCTGCGCCCTGTAAAGTTGTAGGCGGTGTGCCGGTATGAAATACTGTCCCATTCTGCTGAGCACGCCAAGCTTTTTAAAGTCCAATTTGGACTCATCCAAGTGAACACTAAACTGCACGTCACTCGATATTTCGACGCCGAGGATTCTGATACTGGCTGAGTCAAAAAGGTTAGTGTCTTGAAACTGAGCAGATACGACAAAGTGGTTCTTTTTAGCCGTAAACGCGCAAACTTCTGTCTTTCGGGTATTAAACCTTTCTAGATTTGGTCGCCCCTAATCTGAGACTTTGTTCAACAAAGTTTCGACTTCAGATAACAAGTTTGTCCCGGTACTATGCGACGTTTTCCCGGGAAATATTGGCACGGCCGGTATATAAAGCATCACCTTTGCTGTCGTCTGCACAGCAATGAATATTACCGGTTCGCAACATGCCCTTGATATGCAGTAGAAACAGCGTTGGTGATAGCACGCAGCCTTGTGGAATACCAGCGTTAATGGGCTTGTAATTCGACCATGCACTGTCTACTATGACCTTGATGCCCCGATCAGTAAGAAAACTGGTGATACAATTCTTCCTCGGGAAGCCCATAGAAAGGAAGCTTCGTAAGAAGCGCTTTGTGCCAAACCCGATCAAAGGTATACAGACCTACGCCTTTATGTGCTTTTCGAAGTATGGAGGTTAAACACCGCCCACTTCCTAACTCCGGGCTGCATCTGAGATTCTGATATTTCTTGACAAATAAACTTTATAACTGATTTTTATCCCGACCCGGCATTCGAACCCGCGACCACTTGATCAGCAGTCACGCTTCCGACCACTAGACTAAAGAGACAGTTACGGCCTGACTTTATAGTGTGTGTACTGGTGTGTACTGAAACTAGATTCAAATGATTACGTAATGATCATGCCACAGATCATAATGAATTATTTTAATTTAATTTTAATAAGTACAATGAAATGAAACACGGCTATAGCAATGAATTAATAATTAATTTTTCGAAAAAAAAAATGTCCAGTCACTTTAATTACTCATTATGTTTCCCCTTTGAATTATCCGCATAGAATTAATATTGTCATAAAGTAAAAATGTTTATGTCTTTTATTTAAATTGCAACATATTTTGTAAATATACTCGTACTTAAGTATAAAATAATTTAAAAGCGGTCTAGGAGCGACCTGAAAAGTCACGACTTACTTCCCAGTGGAAAGAATAAAAAATATCACATATTTTATTATTTTATACAATTTTTATTTCGGCAAAAAAACTACTGGACCGATTTTGCTCAAAATTTAATGAGGTCTAAGTTACATAATTATGCGTTAATTGAAATTGGTCCCACGTCAATATCACTCATCGTTCTCGAGATACACGAGGCGAAAATTGAGTCCGAACATACATACATACTTACATACATACATACATACTTACGTACATGTGCACACACAGACATCCTCTTAAAAACCAAATTATTCGACTCTAAAGACCTCGAAACGTGAAGATATGTTAAAATTTACAATTTGCAAAACCGGACCCATTACAATAACTTCCCACTGGGAAGTTAATAAATGATAATTGATGTAAAATTCTAAATTTCTTACATAGCTGTGTAGTGGGGACAATCACCCCATAGATGTCATCATAACGATAGAGGAATTGAAACAGAAGATGGACACCGTCATCCTCCGGATAACAAATCATATTAATAAAAAACAATTTAGTTAGTGGCTCTCCTGCCAGGTCCAGCAACTATGGCAAATAACTCCCTACATAGGGTAATTTGTCTGGGTGATATATCATAATAGTCACTTTTAGCGAAATGTTTAACAAATCTGTGATTAAGAAAGACGGTCTTTAGTTAAACGTGTATCTATCGGCATCGCTACGCCGAGACTCCGATGATCTCAGATCCAATACAAAAAGAAATTAGTGAAATATCGCTATATTTCAACAATTTCTTTTTGTATCAAGTCTGATATAAGTAATTGAAAACTAAGTGCACTTTGAGTTTTTATCTCTAATTAATGAAATAATTCGTAATATCGTCGAATGACTAATTACTAGGTAAATGTGGTCCACAATCATGTAAATGCTTCTTTTCAGTTTTTAAGAGTTTTATTTGAGCAAATACGAGAGTCGTGTAGCTATCCGCGCGAGGAACAATGAAACTGGTAAGAAAATTTCATTTGATTATTTTCGCGTGTTCTGTGAAAAGTGCAGAATAACTTCATGGGAAAACCTTGATGTCTGAGTAGTTTTAAGAGTTCAGATTTAAAAGAGATTCATGGACATGTGAAAAACTCTATTTCGAACTATGCGTAATTAGGAGCCCTGTACACGTATGTAAGCAGCTTCTTTACTTCTAATAAGACTCTTAAAACAGTTTGTCATAATATATTAAGATAGCTTTCATGTTTTCAGACGGACCTATTGCAATTTTATGACAGTTCCGGTTTTTTTTATAGAATAAGAGTAACAAACGAGCACACAGTCCATCTGATGGTAAGTGGATGCTGTGGCCCATAGATATCTACATTTATCATCGATTAAGAATCAAAACGCAGATACGTTGTCACCCCTGAGGACTAAGATGGAATGCCTTATTTCCAGTACAAAAAGGTCTCCGGATCTCTACACTCACCATACGAAACACAGCAGTATTACTCTGCTATTTTAGGTTGGTATTCTGTAAGAACGTGGTCATTCCCCGGTCGAGCTGACCCATTCGTGCTACAACGAATATATAGCTGCAGCGTGGCTCTACCACGTAAAAATTTCAAAAGGTTTCTTAATTCACATGAGTAAATGAATAGACTCGCGAAAAAGCACTATAAATTTCAAAGAAAGAAATTTCATACACAGATTTATTTTTCTTTTAACTAGGAAAAGAAATGCATTGCTAGAATCTTGAGAGTCCTCTGTAAAATCCGGTAATCAAAACGATCTAAACGTAAATGTCATAGTGCGTAAGCAACCCAAATTCTATCCGCGCCAATACAAGTAGTTTGAAGTTTTGATTACTTCTCGGGGGTAAAGGAAAACATTGCTAGGAAACCTGTATGAGAAGTTAGAAAATATATCGGAAATCACTTAAGGTATGTGTGAAATCAGTCATCCCCCGTTAGAGTCAACTAAATTAACTCTTTTTTGTCCCAAAACTCGCTGCGGCCTGTACCCAGAATTGGAATGCATGTAGGCTACTACTTTTTTTTACTTTTAATAGGGCTACCCGCTGCCGATTATAGGCTTCTCCCATTGTTTGTCAAATAGCATGGATGTTTGCAGCAGTATCAACACCTGGTAAGCAGGTTGGCAACCGCAGCTTTTTATTACTTTGCGCTGTAATCAGAAAGATGCTGCTACCCTTCTCCTGCTTCTGCTTCCCTCTGTCGCCTCTTACGACACCCACGAGACGAAATAGAGTAGTTGTTTCTTTTTCCCCGCCTCAACATAACTAATATATTTCTACTCCCGTTCATCCATTCCGCCCATAGTTTCGTCGTATAAATTCATAGTTATTTGCATGTAGGTACTAATTATATATGTAACACGTAAATATTTGACAATATATGTATGTATAGCTTACGTTTATTAAAATGTATAATATATTGCGTAGTTAATTATAACTTTTATTTTTTATTTTATTCTAGCCGAGAGCCGTGGTAGCTCAGACGGTTAACGCTCGCTGTAAATCTAACAGAACGCGAGTAACCCGGGTTCGATCCCCGCCGGCACCAATTAAATTGTTAATTGCAATTTAAAGTACTGATTTACCACGTGCTCGGCGGTGAAGGAAATCATCGTGAGGAAACCTGCATATCTGAGGAATAAGAAAAAAAAATATTTCGAATACATGTGAAGTTCGCCAACACTCATTGAGGCAGCGCGGCGGACACTTCTTTGCCCTAAAACCAACTCAGAAAGGACCTGTGCCCAGCAGTGGGATATATAGAGGTGGTAGCTTTATTTTATTCTATATGGCTCCACCTACATCAAATTCTCACCACTCCATAGGTTGACTGGTAGAGAATGCCTCAAGGCATTAAGTCCACCCTTTGTATTCTTTTGTTTTAAGAAATGCAAGGAATGTCCATCTTGTGTATATTTCTACTCCCTTTCATGAATATCGCTCTTCTCATACGTTCACCATAAATAGAATTATATTTATGAAATTTTGAAGTCAACTCAAAGCAAAAAAATAGTAGCATTTATTTTATGGTACCAATAAATATTCAATGAGGTCAATGATTTGAATGATTCAATGATTTGAATCAAGTAACGCAAAGAAACATTATGTCGTATGTGTACTAGACTATGAAATTCAACATCATTTTGTCAAAACTATATCATCTTTAATTACGAATAATATGTAAATAACGCGTTTCTGATTGCAGGGCAATTTCTTCTTCTTCTTCTTCTACCTAGCGTTTATCCCGGTTGCTCATCCCGCCCAACGCGGGAGAACCCAGGCTCCGCTTTCCTACACTTCCTCCTTCACTTTTCCCGGTCTTCGGCGTCCCTCGCAACTAGCCCATTGGCGCGCATATCATCCTGCACGACATCAAGGCAGCGTTTCTCGGGCCGTTCTCTACTCCTGGTACCAGGTAGGGTCATGTCCAGGCATTTGTTTCCCACGTAGCTTGCCGGTCGTCGTAAGACGTGGCCGTACCAGCGGAGGCGACTTTCCTGCAGCTTGTCAGCAATGTCACGGACATGGAGGCTGCCGCGGATGTATGTATTCCGTACATGGTCTTTCCGCGTGACGCCCCACATCCACTGCAGCATGTTCATCTCCGTGACATGCAACAACTGCCGGTGTCGCTCCAGCACCGGTCACGCCTCACTGCCGTACGTAAGGACAGCCCTTATGATGGTCTTATAGACCTGTCCCTTCAGCTTGACCGGCATTTTGGGGTCACAAATGACACCCGTAACCTCGCGCCATTTCGCCCAGGCCGCTGATATACGGACCTTGATGTCGCGATCGATGTCCCGGACGCATCAAGCACAGATCCGAGGTATCTGAAGTTGTCCGTGCGCTCGACGGTGTCGTCGCCTATACGGAAAGACTTCAGATCTGTGCTGTTGCAGGCCATATACTCCGTTTTCGCCACGTTTAGCTTCAGCCCGCTGTTCTTAACGCCTCCCTCCATGCGTGCACGCGTCTGGTGAGCCTTTGTCCCATCAACCAGTGCGATATCATCAGCGTACATAAGCAGCCAAGCCTGCGGTAGTTTCTGTACGCTGGCTGACAGTTCGTCTAATATCACACTGAAGAGATAGGAGCTTAAGAGGGAGCCCTGATGCATGCCTACGGTTATGGGAAAGGGGGGTTATATCACCAACAGCGGTCCTGACTATTAAATCGAAGTTGCGTTACATGTCACGTACGATTTCCACGTAGGTCTCTGGTACCAACTTCGACCGCAACACCCACCAGATCATCTCCCCTAGGAACACATCGCCTTCTGCAGGTCTAGGAATAAAAAATGCGGAGGCATATTCTTTTCACTGTGCTTCTCCATGAGGATCCTTAGGGCGAATATAGGGTCCATGGTACCGGGTCCTGGTTGAAAGCCGTACTGAGAGTCCGATACTGTACACTCCTGTCGGATTCTGGTGTCAATAATGCGCTCGAAGAGCTTCATGGTGTGTGACGTCACCTTTATACCGCGGTAATTACCGCAATCCTGAATGGACCCTTGTGGCCCGGCGTTATTATACTAAGCCGCCACTGATCGGGCATTATTCGGTCGCTCAGGATTATATTATAAGGGTTAGTAAGAATGCACACACCACGAACCCCCAGCGCTTTCCACGCTTCAATTGGCACTTCGTCCGGTCCGACATCTTTCCGATTCTCCACGTGACGAAGAGATGCGAGGACCTCGTCAGGTGTAATCGGTGGCACGAATCCATGGTTCGGGAGTTGCTCGGGAGGGTATTATTATCTTCCCGGTACTGAGTATTCAGCAAAACGTGGAAATAAGAGCGCCATCTCTCCTTCACCGCACGATCATCGTACAGGAGCTCGCCATTAGGGCCGTTGACGCTGCAGCAGCGAGTAATATCTTGCGCTGCTTTAGCTCTAGAGTGCGACAGTTTATATATGAGCTTGTGCCCCTCAGGAGTATCCAACTTAGCATATAATGGTTGCAAGTGGTCACGCCTGGCTCTGGCTACAGCTTTCTTGGCAGCTCTTTTCGCTGTCTTGTAAGATGCGCGATCTTCAGGAGATTTGGTCGCTTGCCACGTCCTGAAGAGCGCTTTCTTCTCCCGTAATGAACCCTGGACTGTGGCATCCCACCACCAGGTCTCCTTGTCGATTTTGCGCCCCACTTTCGCTACGCCGAGGACTTGCTTTGCCGTCTTTGTGATTGCTGTCTGAATGGTTTTCCAGCACTCTTGGACGGACTTGTCTGCTGTGTCGAGACTAATAGCCCCAGCGGCAGAGTCAAACTCTGAGTATCTGGTTTGATCCAGCAGCCACCACTTGATTTGACGGCGGGCAACGTTCAGCGTATCTGCGACGGGGTTTTACGCAGAGGTTCATGACAAGAAATCGGTGTTGGGCAGTGAGACACTCACCGGGTATGACCTTACAGTTGGCCACGCGACTGATATGACTTCTCCTGATCAGTAGATAGTCAATTTGAGTGGCGTTCCGACCCCACCTGTAGGTAATCAGGTGCTCGGTTTTCTTTTTGAAGAACGTGTTCACCACGGCCAGGTCAGCTGCAGTACAGGTTCTGAGAATGGTTTCCCCCTCCGTGTTTCTTCGGCCGTAACCATAGCCATCGTGTACACGTTAATACTCCCCCTGCACACATGACCGTTCAGGTCGCCACCCAAAATGAAATCGTGGGACAACGGTATGCCGCATAGTATATTTCCGAGCCGATCCCAAAACAGCGTCTTATCCGCGTCGCTGCAGCTGACCTGTGGGGCATAGGCACTTATTAAGTGGGTCACGACCCCCTCAATAAGGAACCTTACTACTGTAATAGTGGGGATAAGCGGTCCACTATTAACAGACTTCGAGTGGTCTAGTGGCGGAGAAATGAAACTACTATTTATATGCAAACGACTGGTGTATCGAGTATTGAATATGGAATATGAAATATGGAATATGGAATGTGGAATGAATTTTACGTCGACCCAGCCTATATTTATATGTCCGGCTACGTCGTTAGTTAACCAATAGTAACAATTTTTATTTGCCTAGCCAATTACAGTACATACATTATGACCAATAAAGATTATTAAAAATACAACTATTATGTAAGTTCCATTTGCCGGCGTGAGACTCGTGTTATCTTCTCGTATTTACGTCGCTAGACTGGGTTATAAAAGTTGTGCAGGCCGGCGCGCGTGCGTAGTCGGCGAGCGGCGGCGGCGTGTGACACAGTTCCGGAACAGCAAGAAGAAGCGAGCTGTGGCGTTGAAGAAACGGCTTCAAAATGGTCGACGGATACATAACGATAGCGGCGTGTGAAGACGATGTGGCGCTGAATGATATTTGGGGCTGTTTCTTGTTTCTTTATTAGAGATCGTTAAATATATACGTCAAATTATCTCGCATCAATATGCAGTCCGCAGTAACGCAGTAGCCGGGGATAGTTAGGAAATAAATGTATTCTTCGCTTTCTGTGTTATGGTAGCAGCAGGGTATATATTATTTATTGCCGATTAGCCTGGCTGCTACACTACCATAAGTCGGTCGCATATGCGTCTAACTTCCAAGACGCTATCGTGGAAATGCTCGGCGAGCATCACAGCCACACCGTTCTCCCCACCAGAAGAGCCTGTAGATATATATAGATCATTGTAGCCGTGCCCAATATTCCGGCTCCTGTTGGCCTTTCACCGTGTCTCCTGCAGGAACGACACTGCCACTTTACGCCTGGCAAGTATGGCCGTAAGTTCTGTGGAGCGTCCCGTAAGCTAATATGTATATATAAATAATGTTCCAGTTTGCAAAGTGAATCTTCGTAGTTGGTGCTAACGTCTTTAACCGGGCTAGCACGGGGCCTGGTAGCCCTCGCATACTTGTCGCAGGGTTAAAGCGATCCCCATGCGCTTCGTTATGCGGCGATGCCCTAGTCCTAAACGTATATCTCTTTCTTTTACTTTCCATTGTTGAGTGACTTAGTGCCAATTACCAGGGCGACTGCCGTCTGACCCCTGAACCCCTAGGACGAATCCCAGGGGAGTGGCATCGCCAGAGCCTTTTCCGTTGTCCAGCAGGTGCGCCACGTGCAGGCGGGGTTGGCTTGGGCTCCAAGATTTTAGCGGATTTTATTACACCCCTTTTGCCATTGCAGGGCAATTTACCATTCATAAAGACATATCGGAAGACATGCCCGATATTAAAAAATGTGTTGTTAGACGTATGATATTAATGTAATTCTGTTAAACTCACTTATGTGTGTCTGAAGCATACTATATGCCAAGTCAATCTACACATACAGATACCTAGGTGTCTCTCATAAGTGATGCAATTTTGCGAATTTTGGCATGGAATAGTAATAAAGATGTTTCTAAATTGAAGCTCACGCGAGCAAACCCGCGAATAAAAAGCTAGTAATAAATAAACCCTATAAGTAAAATTATCATTCTCGTGACACGGAATTGGTATCTTTCTCTCGAACGTTATTTTTCTGAAGGATTTACTTCTACCGCATTTGACTTGCGCACACTTGTTTTTTTATTACGTGGTAAGTATATGAGCTGGATCGACCATCGAAGGACCAGGCCCGCATATAATTTCTGAGTTTTGTGTAATAAGTAACTAGAAACAAACATCCTTTCTACTGGCAGTAAAGCAATCCATTTTAATCAATACATTTTGATTCCTATTCGGGTATACCCACCCTCGCACCTATATCTGCCGCCAAGCAACAGTGTGGGTAGGTAGGTAATATGGAAAGGGAGGAAGGATATAGAAAGCCAGTATAGTACCAGGCTGAGAAGCATTTCATCTTAGTCCTCAGTGGTAACAACGCATGCATATATATGTTCAAAGTGGATTTTCGACAGTGAAATGAAGTAGCCGTTTACCATTAACCTTACTAGTAAACTAACTTAGACACATTTCCATTCTTTTTTCTGTTGAAGATCATATTTAGGATATAGAAATAATTTTCGAAACCAATTAGTTAGAAGTTAGAACTACTTCTTAATTTAGATGAAAATTACTAAATTGAATATTGTTGCACGCCATAATTAATGCCTGGTACGTGACATACTCGTGCCGTCTAGTATCAAGTAGCAGAACTAGGAGAGCTTGCTAGAAAATTCCATACTAGAACTTTCTACACCTATTCAGTCGGAACCGGAACATACTCGAACATTCTAGATGTTTGAGTAGAAGAGGCCCTATATAAGGCCAGTTAGGACCGCGACCGAGTCAGTATTAAATTGACGATTCGAGCGAATAATTCGAAGCGATGTAACTGCGAACTAAAGTGATCAGTTTGATTATTTATTGGTGGGTTTTAAGTTGTAATTGGTGTTCGGTAATTAAAGTGTCAGTTTCGGTAATTCAATCGACAGTTTTTTCTGTCACGAACCCCAAGCTCGTAACAGTATGTTATGTCTTTAACCTACCTATTCTGTTGTAACTGGAAGACCAAAGTGTTTATAATTGAAACATTAATAGTTATATTAACATAATTTATAGTTAATGATTTCTTCCTATATAAACGCGGTAAAATCCGTGTATATAGTTTTATTCATTTAGTTTCTTGCGTTTTTCTACCACAAACCTAGTGTCGTTAGACCTTTTCCAGACTAGTAATTAAGCTTTGCTAACCTCAGACATAATAGAGAACTGAGACGAATGTCTAATTTAAGAATTGATCATTGCAATCTATAAAACCTTACAACCTTACTACCCCTAGCAAGGAGGATTAACATCATTCACGATACAAAACACCGCAGAAATATATATATGTGTATGTATGTATATACACATATATATATATATATATATATATATATATATAGGAGTAGGCTCTTTTCTTGAATGTCACTAAAGTCGTATCACTCGGGCAAAACCGCTGGTGACAACAAGTTACTTTTTTAGTTTTTTCGTGCGAGGCACAAAATTCCACGTAAATCGCACAGTAGTGGACCGCCAGCCATCAAGATTTAAAACATACATATAATAAATTCACAGCTCTTTCCTAGTATATTACTCTACTTCTTGGTAGATTTTTAGTAGAGTTCTGTGCTATTATTATTGTGTTTGACAATTGACCTATTTATAGGAGAAGGGTGACAAACGAGCACACAGTCCACCTGATGG